ACATCCACATCAAATTCATCATCCTATAAAACTCAAACACCTCCATGTAGGAGAAACTAAGGTCCACGAAGGTAAAGTTCAGTTTATGGACATGAGAACAACACGCTTTCCCCACTGACCAGCTTTCAAAAACCGCTCTTTCCTCCTTGAAAGTCTCTGGGTCGACATCCTCCAGAGTCAGACACACAGGACCTCAAAGGCCCAGAACCCTGAATCCCACAACTGTCCAGCCCCCTTCAAAGGCCGTTTACCAGTCACAACGGGACACACAGCGACGCACTCAGCTCTTCTCACCGAGGATGAACAGCCGCACACAGGGGCAAGTTCCCGCTCCAGAATGTTTCAGGTACCGGGCCAATTGGAAAGAGGACTCGGGTAAAGACTTCCAGAAATAAAAATAAGCAAAACTCCCCTCTCTCTGCCCTGCTGAGCACTGTGCCTCCTGAAGCATTGTTCCCTTCCAGGGAGGCATTCCCACTCTTCTTGGTCATTTTATTACACATCCCTGGGGACCGCGAATATTTTTTAGGATGTTCATGTGCTCTGAATGTTTCAGTATATTCAAATAAGCTAATTTAAGGAAACAAAGTCTTCCTAAGGAACTAAGAAAAACACTAGACTAGACCCACAGGCTTGGGCCTCAGCCTGGCAACATTCTAATTGGAGGACTCAAGTCTCTGAGGCTCGGCTGCTTCTGGCGGGGCCCACGAGATGGCCCGGGAGCCCAGTGAAACTGAAGATGTCCTCCTCGGGTCAGCAGCGCCCAGACCCAGGCTCCAGGCCAGCTCGCACCACTCGCTCCCCAATTTCACCGAGAGGGGAAGCGCCCAGTCTTGCGCGGCAGAGGCCTGCGGTGTGTTTAGTTCGAGCGGGCCTGCGTCAACATAAATAGCGCAACTATTTTGATGCCACAATCGAAGAATGTAAGGGAAAAGGAGGAGAAAACCAACGATAAAACGATAAGGCCAGCCTTTCCACGCGGCAGCACAGAGGAGCCTATCGAATAGCACACATGCCTCGTTCCTTAAAGTAGCACTTACATTCCTAAACCAAAATACTCCCATCATATTAATAGGGCGGCTTAAAGCATCATCTGGAGAGGATCCCGCTGGGGGGTCGCCAGCCCTGCTCCCACTCCGGTCCCTACTTCAGTGCATTTTGTCACAGGGCCACAGGACAGGAATCCCCTTCTCTGAATCATCTTGAATCAGGATCACAGACTTAACTGCAGGTTCACGGGGGCGTGGGGGGGGGGAGACGCCTTCGGGGCATGTTTAATGAAGACCACCACCGTCTAAAGTTCCTTTTGTGACTTGCTGTTGGGTCCCCCAGCCCCTGCCCTTTGTTACGCAGTGGACCCCGCCGGCAGGCCCGGCCCCACGCCCTCGGGCACCTCTGGGCTTCCAGGAACTGCCCCCCACGTCCACACGGGCCGCCGCCGACGGGACAGAGAGGCCACGCAGGCAGGACGCCACACCCACGCGCGGCAGCCCCTCGCGGGGCCCGCGGGCTCCCCCGCGCCGCCCACCCCGCGCGCCGGCCGGCCCGGATCAGGTGTGAATACTTATGTAATCGTCCTCGGGGCCACGCCTTTGCCCGCGCCCCACCTCCGCCAGAACAAAGTGAAGTTTAAAATAGAAACCAATTACCTGGCCGCGGCCGCGCCTCGGCCCCCGGAGCGCCGCCCGCGCCGCCGCGCAGACCCCCGCCCCCCGGCTGCGCGGAGACACGCGCCCCCCAGCCCCCCCCCCCCCCCGCCCGCCCCCCCCCCCACCCCCCAACCCCTTCCCCCCAGCCCGCTCCCGCCCCAACTAGGCCCCCTCCCGCCCGCACGGACCCCCGCCTTTGTTACGGTGCGAAGTTGGGCCGTGGGTCCCCGTCTCTTTCACTTCTTGGGTTACAGTGCAGGCGAGTGACGTCCGCTCCACATGACGGGGGCGGGGGGCGGGCGCCGGGGGGCGGGGGCGCGGGCCGGGCCCTCCCCCACCTCGCCGCCTTGCCCGCCCCGCCCACAGCCCGCCCCCTGGCAGCCCAGCAACAAGCGGCCGCCGCCCCCGCCCCCGGGGCGGGCAGGTAAATCCCCCCGCCCCCGCCCCGCCCCCGCCCCGCCCCCCCCCAGCGGCGCCCCGGGCCCGGCGCCGCTCGCTCGGAGATACATAAATAGGAATGATTTAATCCCGCTACACCTCCCCCTTGCTGCCCATTCCTCACTCGGCGAGTTCACCGAGGTGGGGGCGGGGGTGGGGAGCAGAGTCGGGTCGAACTCGGGCCGAAAATGGCCGGAGCGGGAGGATGGGGTCGGACACCACCTCGTAACTGAGTTGGGTTCTCGCGGGGGGTGGGGGGGGTGACGACGGAGGTCGCCTGGGGCCGCCCGTGGGCCCCCGGGGTAACCCCGGTGAGGCAGGGCAGACGGGCACCCCGCGCGTGGACGAGGGCGGGGCGCGGGATCCCTCCCCGAGGCCTCCCTCAAGGGGTTTCGGGGGCAGGAGGGGCCCCACGTGGGTCCGTGACCGGCGCGCGACGGCAGCAGCATCCAGCCCGGAACGACGCAGCGCGGCACCGGGAGCCCCGAGACAGAGATGCTGCGTGATCGGGTCCGGCCCGCACGCGTCCACACACCGCGACCGACGTTCCCGGGGAAGCTGGCGCCAGGTCAGGCCGGCACGAAGCGTGGGGCGGCCCGTGACGCGCTCCGCCCGTGAATGTGCCCATTGTGCGGGGGGGACCCGGCGGGCGCTCGGCGCTCCCGAGTCGGTGGGCAGCACAGCCTCTCCCCACCGCGCGCGGGTCGCGCTCCAGAACCTGCCAGTGGCCTCGGGGTGAACTTTCAGCGCCACCGCGGAACGTGAAGTTGTGAGGTGCCCGCGTCCGCACTTCGCCACGGATTCATACCCCTTTCCCCAGCGCCCGTTCCGTGTGCGCTCTACGCCTGGCGGGCGCGCTCCGTCCCCGGACCCCGAGCGCGCGAGGCCGCGCCCGCCGCGTGGGAACGGGACGGAAGGAACCGCACGGTGCGGTCCCCGCCGCTGGAAGCGGAATCCCATCACTCCCGTCTTCCTCCCCCTCTGCAGGTTCCGACTGGAATCCGAAAGCGGCTCTCGAACGCCCATTCTTTGCAGGAGGACCTCGGAGGAGGCGAGGTCCCCACTGCAACTGCTGCGTGCCCATCTAGCTGCCCAGACTCCGGTAGAAGCGTGTCCGCGTCTACAGCACGGGGCTGTGCACATCAGGAGCTAAGGACGCGCGAGGCTAGCAGCACTGCACGGTGTGCGTACACATGGGCGCATGCACGCGCGCGCGCACACGCACACTCCAAATTACCTCCGGGATGGAGAAAGCCGCTGCGGATTGGCCGACAGAGCCGTCACTCACACCCAGGGGGCAGGGAGACTTAGCAAGGCTGTTTCCTTCTTCTTCTTTTTTTTTTTTCTTTTTTTTTTTTTTTTTTTCCCCTTCCCTCCCTACCGTTTCATTTAATGGTAAAACAACAGCAGAGCCCTGAAAGTTAGCCATCTGCGCGGAGAGTTTGCTTTCTTTAACGACGGGGGCGTCAGACAATATCCATTTAAATATATTTTGTTCTTCCACAATGGCTGAAAAGGGAAATTAGCGATCCGGGGTGGGGGCGGAGAAGGAGCTAGGAGTGAGGAGGAGGGGGTCATCCGGAGGGGTGGACGCGGAGTGAAGAGTTGTTCTCAACGCCCAAAAAAGACTTTGACCTTTATTGATCTCGAAATTAAAAAATGTTTTTCACAGATCAGATTGTAACAAACGCCGGTCCTAATTCATGCACTCATTATTTTAATTTTATTATTTAAGCTTGCGCCAGCAATCGAGTTTCCTTAAGAAAGAACTGACCTATTTTTGGCTGGAGATAAACGATCATGTTAACAGATGTTAATCTTGTAATCTGTTTTTCCTGTAAGCACTTTACATACCCGGGTTTCAGACCTTAAAAATAACATCTTTTCCAAAAAGACCTGACGTCACAATTCACTCCCTGAAAAATCACCCCCCTCCAGTTTTTTTCCTCTGCAATGATTTCAAAGACATTAAATCTTTTTCACTTTATAAATGCTGATTTGTTCTGCCTCAACTCCCACAGGCTTCTATTTGCATTTCAAATTCCACAGGTTACACCAGTCGCCTTTTCAAAAAATGTAAACCAACAATGAAGCAGCAAATGGCTTTTTGTGCATCTGGATTAAATAAGGCGCAGAATGAATATATTTAAAAAGAGGGCTGAGCAAGTTGATCTTTGCACACCCGGAGACCAAGTAATTCTTTATCAGTAAGCCAGCAGAATGAGTAAGATGCAGACACACAAACCCCAGAAGGTCCTGGTCTGATCCCGGTCTGCTGCGGGGAGCTTATTAACGCGGATAATAAATGGGGCTGACTTACAGACCCACATTTTCGGGTAAAAGGCTGGGTCTCTCTGGTCCCTAATTGCAAGGCTCCACCGGCTTCCCTGCCCACTACCACCGATTGTCAGCCCACACCAACCTCCTCCATAAACCGCTGTTTTCCATATCCAACTCGACTGGCTTTTAACAAACTTATTCATACAAAGTTTCTTTAAAACTTGACGAGGCGGTTTATTCTAGACACCGATCGCAACTATTCGGTGTGTTAGTTCTCCCTGGAAATGGCAGACGAGGCGCTTTTCCAAACACCCCCCCCCCCCAGCATTTTCCTTTTCTCGTATATCCCCGGGTACATGTCGCGATCCGTACCTCCCCAACCCCCACTCCGACCCCCGCCAGGGTCAGTGCATCTGCGAGGAGCCCCTGCCACCCTGAGCCCTCTCCCCACCCCTCACGGTCACTGAGAGAACCCTCGCCCCCACCCCCACCCGGCCCTAACTTCCCTTCCAGGAGCACTCACTTCTTTAATGTTAGGGTCACTTATACGCTCCCAGCTAATGGGCATGCAGCCAGGGGAGGGGGAGGCAAAACACCCCCCCCACACACACACACACACACGCCAACACGTACCCGAGGCAGCAGCGCTCGGTGCCCACAGGCATCGATCCCATCAGCCAAACCCTTAATAATTGAAGCGGCTCCTCGGGCCCCGCAGCCCCATCACCCACCTTCACTAGCCGGAGCGTTTTACTTTAAAGTAAGGCAATTTGCTCTTTGTCTCCTAATGGATGGAGAGCGCATCCGAGCTCCCCTCCTCCCGCGTCGCCTTTGACGAAGTGTACAAAGCCAGAGCCTCTTCCGCGCTCCCACCCGGCCCCCACCCCGCCCCTCCACTGCGGTAAAAACCACCTCCCAGCGCTGGCCTCGCCGCCCGAAGTTGCATCTTCCCTCTCCTAGAATTGCCGAGCGGAGCAACTATCCACAGGGAAGCCAAGCCGCCCTCCCCGCGCCCCGGAGCCCCTCCCCGCCCCCCACCCCCGCGGCGCACACCGGGGTCCCGGGCACCGCCAGGCCCCGGGCCCCGCGCCCCCGCCCCTCGCCGGCGCCGCGGCGCCCCCCACCCCACCTCGGCCCCTACCTTGGCGGGAGGCGGCGGGCCCGGGGAAGAGGACGCGCACGCCCCGCGCCTCTGAAGGTGAAGCCGAGCGCCCGAGGCGCGGAGCCGAGCGCTGCACTAGATCGACCGCGCCAGCTGCGCCCGGGCGCGGGGGACGCGCGAGGGCGCGCGGGGCCCGCCACGCGCCCGGCCCCCTCCCCGCGCCGCCCTCGCGCGCCCCGGACGCGCCCGCCCCGCGGGGACCCCGGCGCCGGCCGGGCTCTGGGGGCTGCGTGGCGGGGGGAGGGGGCCGGGACCCCGCGGCCGGGCGCAGGCCCGAGGCTTCCCCCAGCCACGGAATGGTCTGCCCTGTAGGAAACGCACACGCTCCACTATTGTCTCATCAGCACAAAGTTCTACCACACTGCGGGCAAAGTCTGGAGGCTCGCGATGACTCAGACGCAGATAATTCTTCCCCTAATAGCACTGAATCACGATCCCAGCGGCTAGTTGTCGCCCTTCTCCTCCAGGACCCGCGCTGCCGCAGATCCAGTTACGGGAAGCTGTTTACGCGCGCACACACGGACACACACGCACGCGTCCATACGTGCAGACGTGTCGGGACGCGTTTTCCGCCGACTGGGCACCTGAGCACCCAGCCCGGAGTGCAGACCTCTACGCGGGTATCCCTGCGGTGGTCCCAGATGCGTGTGCATTCCACACGGCTCAGCGTGTGCGTTTCACTGAACTTCCTGGTCAGTGTGTTGGGGATACTCCATAGATTAAGTCCTGGGTCCAGACCAAAGTCGGGAGGACTTTGCTGGATGGCAATTTAGAAACGACCGTGGGCTTTTATTTTTATTGTTATCCTTGGAAAGTTCAACTCTAATTTTTTTTCTGTTTTTCAAACCATTTCTTCACCCCAGCTGCTCTCCGCGGGCCGTAGTTAGTGGCAGCAAGTTAAGTCTGGGAATAGAAATCCCAATTTGACTCCAAGAAGCAATCATGGTACACGGGGCGGGGGGAGGGGGAGGCGCAGACGGGTAAGGGGCGGAGGAACGCGGAGAGGGGAAGAGGAGAAAGAGAAGGGGCGCGCCCCTGAATCAGCGATGACGCAGAGCGAGGGAGTTGGCCTGCGGAGGGGAGCACTGTCTTCTCCCACCAGGCTCCTGGCCATATTGTTCTGTTCTCCTCGTGATAACTCCGCAGTGGAGATGGATTCCGTCCAAGACACCGACGTAGCTGGGCTTCGCCATCAGCGCTGCAGTCCGGCGTCACCTTCCGCCGTGGCAGTTTCTCTCTCGGCGCCCAACGCTCGCTCACACTCGACTGCTGATGCAGCTCGGGCCCTCTCCAACTTAGGGCATTTACAACAGAAACTACTAAGGACGAGCTCCAAAGGGAGGAGCTTGTGCCTGCAAAGCTGGACTCTCAGACACAGGGGCCATTCTGCACGTGTGTGCGTGCGTGTGTGTGTGTGTGTGTGTGTGTGTGTGTGTCGGTGGAGGAAGAAGGCAGCAAGAGGGGGTGGACCTTTGCGAGAAGGATCTTCGAATCCTAAAATGTAAGCTCCTTGTGATTAATGGTCTGCATTAATTAGGATAGCAGGCACAGAGGTAAAGGTCTTTGGCAATTGTTGCAGGTTTGGGGGATGAGTGCTTAAATGGCCTGTATTCTTAATCAAATTTAAGTCTGGTTCACAGAAAAGTATTGAATGAGCACAACTCATTACAGTACCCTGTGACAATTCACAAATGAAAGTACCCCCCAGATGAACTAATTCCACGGATATAAATGGCGTATACAGACTTAGAGAAATCCTCACGTGTTATACGTGTGCACACACAAAGATTATAATATGCACACTTGGAATTTTATAGTTGTGTTTGTCCTATTTGGGAACGGATTTGAGTCAACGGTAAAAATCCACTTTGTTAACTACATTCTTGGGTCTATTTAAGACTACAGTATTGCTCTAATAACTTCCATATGTTCAAAATTGACAAGTTAGATCAAGGGACGTTTGGTCAGCAAAACTTCCAAACTCCTCCACATATAATTGTGAGTTTCATGACTTGCCTCCTTTCTGTAGCCTGCTTATCACCCACATGTGATCTCACTGAGGGCAGAGCCAGTTCTACAATAATACCGTGCTTTTAAAAGATTTCCCTTCTCCCTTTCTCTACAATGCATGCAGAATCTGAGAATGTAATTCGAGAGACAAGCCAGGGTTACATTCTGGAAAAACAGCAGCTTGCCAGCCAGCAGGTCTTGATGCTGCTGAGGGTGCCACAGTGCCCGGCGAGAGAGTGTTTACATTATTTGTGCACCAAGCCACTGGCAGAGGTCCGTTTGTCAATGCACTCTTAGCTTATTCTGGGACGGGGGTGTGGGGGGGCACGGGGAGGTATAAAAATAAAATATTTAGCAAAGCTTCCCATACTACTCCTACAACATGTTTAGCATTGCTAAAATTTCAAGTGTTTAATAATATCTGCAAAGACTTCAAGTAGCTATGAAAGATTAAGGACACTGTTTCCGCACAAAATACAAAGCCCTGAAATCCCTCAAAAGAGGTTCACCTCGTTTGAAATGTTTAATTACAATATTTGGGTGGAGAACCATGATATTACCGGATTACTGGTTGCATACATATTTGGCTATTTACAACTTTATCGCAAGCAATAATTCTGCTGAATGAGATAGATGGAGAAGAAAACACACTTTCTCTTGTGATTGTCTAATGAATTATTTGTTCAGCATTTGGGACTCTGCTCTTTCAAGCTAAGGAAAATGGCATTTTAATGCAACAGCGCTCAGTGGCTTGTCTGCAGAGCTTAGGTGGGAACATGACTGGTGAATATTTGGATCAGAAAGGTTCTGGAAGGGTTCCATTAAAGAAGAGCTAAGAGTAAGAGACAAACAAACAAAAAGAAGCCCAGCAAAGGTCTTGTCTGTCTGAAAGCTGGAACTGAAACTCTTTAAAGTATGAAATCCAAGACAAACTAAAAAATATTTATTAAATATGCATGCTTTAAAATTTAAGTGCACTGCTTATTAGTAAATATTTAATGTTAATTCTATCTCTGTGCAAATTTGTATCCTATATCCCAAATTACATCTGAGGAAGAAGAATGACAGTGGCACCTAAGTCTAAGGGTAATTAGCTCTTTGAACTAACTTAAATTTACAGATTTAAGAGTGGACAAGGGGGAAATTTTAAATTGTCGACAACTACTCCAAGGTATGGACTGTTTTAGGAACAGAATACCTGTTGACCACCTTCATATCATGTAGAGTAGGTAACAATTTCATGTGTAAATGGAAATTGGCTATTTCTTTAATCATTGATGGTTTCATAAATATTGCCCCAATCCTAACCTGATGTTTTTTTTTTCCTAAAGTCTTAATTTTTTTCACAGAACTTGGAAACTAAGAGAATACACTGCATTTAGAATATGGAGGAAGAGGAATTTAATACAGGGTGATCCCCTGTGGAGAAGGAGGGCAAAGTTGTAATGATATTTTAAATAGTCTTCTACAGAATGGTTTCAGAGGGTTGACTTTGGAGGTAACCAGCAGAAAGAAGGTCTTTAATCTTGGTGTAGGAAACTATCTTAGTTCTGGTTTTTTAAGCTTTATTCCCTTGAAGGTGATGAACTGTAGCAAAAAAATAGATAATATCCTTTTCTTACACACACACACACACACACACACACACACACACCCCTAAGTGATCTATGCCCAAATCCTCCCATGTTTACTGTAACTTCTAAGTTGTGTCTCTTGTTTGGTCTTTTACGTTCAGGACAATTTAGAGTCAAAGTGGCAGTTTTCTTGTTTTGTTTTGTTTTGTTTTTTAAGACTTATTTGGGGTCGCCGTCACGTGCAGGGGGTGGTAACTACATCAGGACTTCCCAGCAGGTAGAGGGCCCTCAGATCTGTTCTTAACTTCAAGCAAAGCAGAAGACTTTGGGCAACAGCTGGCTGGATAGCTGATCCGCAATTCCACAGATGTGGTTCTTAATGGGTTGAAGAAGAAAAGGAAGGAGACCATGGAGCAGAATTCACTTAAGGAAAGACAAATTCAAAAAGCAATCCTCTTGTGAAAGATTTCCATGTCAGCAGAGGGACTGTTTTTCCCATTACATTTTCTCATAATCCCTACAGTCTGTTCATTACTTAACAGGTAAGTTGTGACCTCTTAACACCACCCTGTCTTAGGATAGCAAAACCATGACTTTGTCTGCCCCACAATCTCATTATGTTTCATGGTGCGTAACTGATTACACGTGCATGTTTATGCAAAGTTTGCTGAGAGAACCAGAATAAAGTAAGGCAAACAGCCAGGCCGCCTACACTGTGGGCCGCAAAGGCTTTGCCCGATATCGCAAGGGCCTTGCCCCAGTCTCAGCTTGAAGGAAAGAATTTGGCATTTGGGGGTTGGGTGGAGTTGGAAACAGAACAATATGGAAAGAAGATGTGGATCAGTTGTCATAAGAAGTTAGGACATTTCGTTGGTGAGGGAGGCTAGGTACATTTTAGGGGGTGACCATCGCAGTACGATATACGTAATGTAAAACTGACCATTTTAACCACTGTAAGTGTCCAATTCAGCACATTCCAGTCCTGTGCAACTGTCACCAGCACTCACAGCCAGAACTCATTCCACCTTGCAAACCTGGAACGCATGCCCATGAGACGACTCCCCGTTCCCCCGCGGCAGGAGACCCCTGTACTTTGTGTCTCTGAATGCCGCTCCCCCAGGGGCTTCCAACAAGCGAGCTTGTCCACTGTGGTGAGCTTATCCACCCAGC